CCCATTCAGATTCAAAGAGTTTTTTATTGCTGTCAGAAAATTTCCTCAGTCGAGTTAGAATATAAAAGCCAATTTTTATTTTTTTTTTCACCACTTTTCATTTGTCAATAAAAAAAAATGTCACTGAAACATCTTATTTCAGAACTTTTTTTTATGATATATATCTTTAATCAGAGTCGTGCTGATTTCCCTAACCATTTTGCTTGCAAATTTATTAATTATATCATTGTAATCAATTGTTCCAGCGATTGCATTTTCTATTGACAGTATTGCTAATTCTGAAAATCTTTCTTGTAGAATGCAGATAAATTTTAATTAATTTTAGTTTTGAAAACGACCGTTAAGAATAAACAACTGTAATGAGCATTGTTAAAATAGAGAGTTCATTTTTAATGGGCATTGTTAAAATTAATCAATATATGTTACATACATTTGGATATAATTCTTTCAAATTACTTTCTAAAATAAATTTCAGATTCTCTATTATAGTATAATTATCTTCTAAAATATATCTTAAAGTAGAAAGTTCATTTTTGAAAACTCTTCAACATTATTTTTTAAGTGTTTGATCAAATTTAAAAATTAGTATTGAATTCATTTGTGTTCATAGTTTTTAGCTTTTTATTATCAAAAACAAAAACTTGATTTAAAAAATTATACAATTCAAATTGTTCTTAAAATGAATCTTTTGCTTTATCGATTAATTTATCAAAATAAGATTGTTTAAATTTGTATTCAGCCATTTGGGTTAGATGGTTATACTCATCATCAATTTCAGAAACGAAATCATGTATCATATTCTGATGATTTATTAAGACAATCTTTGTTTCTACTTGTTAATATTTGTGTATTACAAGAAGACCACTCAGTGAACTGCTATAACATTTTTTGATACTTCTTGTGCTTCTTTTATTATTGTTCAAAATTGTTTTTGAAATCATCAAGAGATAAAAGCATAGCCTTTGTACATTGTAATGCAATATTATTTGCCATACCTTTTCGCTGAAGTAATTGGTTGAAAATGTGAAGCTTTGATAACAAGTGATATCAAATTGTCGTGAGAGCACAAATTCATAAGAGTTTATTTGTTTTATTAAAAATGCAGCATGAATTTTATAATCTGGATGGCTATTTTTAAGATCATTAACTTTAAAAAATGGAAATCTATGGAAATATTGCTTAAAAAGTATATAACTCGTGAAATACCAAAAACATCCATTGTTCGTTGTTGATTTCAACAGGCCAAGTTGCAGGATTTAATATACCATAATTGCATTTTGATAAAGTACCGCTCTCCATTTGTGAATTATTACTAATTTCTGAAGTATTGTTAGATACAATATTCTTAAAATTTATGCTATTGGATCCTGATTCACTATCTACATTCTCATTCTGGTTATCAATGTTTTTAAATTGTGGCTGATTCATATTTTCTTCAACATTATCGTTTTCAAGTTTAGATTTACCATTTAAATTGTATATTTCAATTAAATTAGTGTTCGATATTGACAAACTTTCACCTTGTTTAAAAGATTTATCTAATGATCCAGTAAGGCTATTTAATTCTGCTACTTTCCAGATCTGTTTCTCTTTTTTGTGTGCCACTTTCATAACATCTTTTCGACATTTATGGTAATTAAATGTTATATGTAAACGTAAATTAAACACAAGTAAGTTTTAAAATGTTAAAAACTTTTTAAAAAATAAATAAAAACTAACAACTTCAAACAATAAAACTACAGAACTATTAGTTATATATTTTTCTATTTATTTTTAGAATAAAATTTTTCCTTTGAATGGTATTTCATTTGATTGCGCGTGCAAATTAAATACTCATTTAAATTGTTGCTTTCAATTGCTTCGTTTTAATTTTGTGTTTAGTTGTTGTTAATTGTTGATGAAACATCAGGAATTATTCCTCTTAATAAACTCTTAATAAAAAAACTTTCTAATTGAAAAGTAATTAAGTACTTAAGATTTGGATTATAGTGCTAGTTTCTTATAACTAAGTTTCATATTAAAAAAAATGTTTTCAATATTTTGGGCCCCTTAAATATCGAGGGCCCAGCGCAGATGCACTTGTTGAACTTGCGAAAGTATGGCTCTGTCTAATAATATTTTTTGGTGACTGCTTTAATATTTTTTGGCTATATCATAATTGAATTTTGATAAAGTACCATTCTCTGTTTTTGAATTATTACTAATTTCTGAAAAATTGTCAGATATACACTGTGTCAAAAAAGTTTTCATCCACCTATCTTGCACATTTAAAAATACAATAAATTTTTATTCAGCAAAGATGTTAGCATGATATTAACTAAATTATATCATTTAAACATTTAAGAAATATTGTACAAAGAAAATTTTTTAAAGTAATGAGTAACAAATAAAATACAGCATTTCGGAATTAAAGATAGACATTTTTGTCCCAAAAAAGTTTTCATCCACTTTACAAAAATCAAATAAAATTGTTATTCGAACTCAATTTGTTAGTGTTTTAATAACTTGTGTTTCCACCACGAGCTTTTATTACTTCGTGTAGTCTGTTTTTCATAGAACCAACTAATTTTTTGGTAATTTCTGAAGTGATTAAGCCCCACTCTTTCATAATTACTAATTGTAGTTGTTGTTTATTCCTTACATTGTGGGTGCTTATTCTTCTACCTAATTCATCCCACAGACATTTGATAGGATTCAAATCTGGAGATTGTGGGGGTGTATGAAGTTGCTTAGCTATTTTAAATGTAAGTCATTCCTTGACACGTTTAGCTGTATGTTTTGGATCGTTATCTTGCTAAAAAATAAATGACCTAGTAAGTCCCAATTTGTAGGCACTTTCTTCCAGATTATTTTTTAAAATGTTTAAATACACATTTTGATCCATATTTCCATCAATGAAAACCAAGTTACCTACACCAGAAGCACTCATATATCCCCACACTAAAACACTTCCTCCACCATGTTTCACCGTTGGACACAAGTTTTGTTTTTTGAATGCTTCATTTGGTTTTCTCCAAACTTTAACTCTTCCATCTGATGAAAACACATTAAATTTTGACTCGTCGCTAAAAAGAACCATTTCCCAGAATGTCTGTGGTTCATTAATATCAAGTTTTGCAAAGTGTAGTTGTTTGGCTTTGTTGACTTAGCTAATGAAGGGCTTTTTTAATGGTACTCTACTATTGTATCCAGCTCTTCTTAAGGTTATTCTAACAGTTTCAGGGTCCACTTTTAAATTGTAATCATTTTCCAGCAAGTTTTGGAGCACTTATTTTAGGATTTTGGATGACTGTTCTTAAGATAGCTCGTCGATGCAATACTTGAATTTTATTTGGACATCCTGTTCGTGGCTTATCAGCAATTTGTTTGGTGGTTTGGTATTTCTTGATAATTGACTGCACAGTTGCACGTGATTTCTTTACTATTTCTCCTATTTTTCGCTGTGACTTTCCCTCCTTCCATAGTCTAACAATAAGCGATCTAATTTCCTCTGCAACTCTCATTTTATTAATAATCTAACACAAATAAAAAATATAAAAAATTCATATAGAGAAAAAATAATACAAAAATCTTACTAAATCTAATTTATATTTTAAAAATGTTACTTTATTACTGATTTAGTAACAAATTGAGGTTGGAGTGCAGGGTAGATGAAAACTTTTTTGGCACTAAAACGGACATTATTTATTTTAAAATGTCGTATTTTATTTTTTATTTATTATTTTGTAAAATTTTTTTATACAATACTTCTTGAATGGTTAACTGATATAATTTAGTTAAAATTATACTTATATCTTTGCTGAATAAAAAGTTATCACGTCTGAAAAATGTACAGAATAGGTGAATGAAAACTTTATTGACAAAGTGTAGATCCTCAATATTTACACTTTTGGATCCTAATTCATCATCTACACTCTCCTTCTGGTTATCGATCATTTAAAGTTGTGGCTCCTTCATATTTTCTTTAACACTATTGTTTTCAAGCTGAGATATATTATTTAAAGCTTTCACTTTGTTTAAAAAAATTATCTAATGATTTATCAACGCTATTTAACTCTGCTACTTTCTGGATCTTTTTTATTTTTTCAACATTGGAAAATGTAAATTAAACGACAAGTGAGTTTAAAAATGTTATCAAAACAGTTCAAAAAAATAAATAAAAACTTACAATTTGAGGCAATAAAAATCAATTTTAAGTATTAGGTACATTTATTTCTTTATTTAGTATTATTATATATAATAATAGATAAAATAAATTAATATATATTATAATAGAATTTTACATATTATAGTAGAATCATTAGGTTTACATTTTTTAAATCAAATTGTTACCAAATTAATTGTATTTTTATTGTCCCCATTCAATTGATTTTCAAAGATGAAATTCCATTTGCAATCGATTGCACGTGCAAACTTATTTAAACAGTAATTCTTGTTTGTAATACTTTGTTCAGTTTTTTGTTTTATTGATATTATATCTTGGTGAAAAATTAGTAAATGTTCCTGAAACTCTTATTAAAATAGTTTCTAATCAAAAAATAACTTTAAAATTTTTTATAAGATTTTGGCTTCTAGTGTTAGTTTCTTATAAACAAGTTTCTTAATATAAAACATGTTTTAATATTTAGAGCCCGATTAACATAGGGACCTAGTGCGATTGCACCTGTTGCACTTGCAATAGTAAGGCTCTGATAATAAAGTCAAAAATATAAAGGTAAAACATATCTAATCGCATATTAAAAAAAATTAAAAAAATTTGAACTGTACACCATTGTATAGACCAACACCTATTAAAATACATCAATCATTTAGTGTTTACTTTGGACAGAAAGTGTTGTAAAATTTAATATGGCAAGGAAATTTGAAAACATTTTGTAATGATATGATTGTCAATTACTGGCAATCTTTCATTTTGTCTCCTACTGTTTTATTTTATAAGATAAAAAACAAAACAAAAAAATGATAAAATTATTTTTTTTTAAATAATAAACACATATTACCTTGGAGATAAAGTATTTTTACACTTAGATTTCCATTATTCAAACTTTCTTTTAAGCTGGTTGCACTTATATTTGAAAAATTGAAATACAAAGTTGCATTAAACAAGATACTTCCATTACTAATTTAAAAAATAGTTAAATTCAAATAGCTGTATAAAAATAAAAAATAAAAATACAAATTTCAGAACTTTTTTTTTAAACAATTTAATTGAATACTATTTTAACAATTTAGAAATAAAGCATTATAGGTAAATATTCATAAAATTAAGATGCTGCTTTTTAAAGAATTTATGAGAATAAACATATTTAATGAAAAGGAAACCTGTGAAAAATGTAAAAAGGATAAATTTACATTTTTCCAAAGAAATATAAATTTGGGTTTATTATCAAAATAACAGTTTTGGGCAATTTTAGAAAAAAATGGAAAAATAAAATTTATTTTGATTTTGAAAAAGAAACTTTTTAAAATCAAACAGCTAAATTATTTTTGAAAAACTAACTTTGAAAAGTTAAATAAATACCTAATCAAAAAAAAAAAATCTTGATTAGTTAAATTAATTACAGAAAAAACAAAAAAAATTCAAAACGTTTAAACTAATTTCGAAAAGTAAAAAAGATTAAAATAATTTCAAATTAATTTCTAATTACAATTAAACAACAAAACAGCTTATATAAATTAAATAAATTTAAAATTAGAATATTCTGACAAATTTTTTTGAACTTTGAAAGTGAAAAACTGTTTCCATTCTATGTTCAGAACTTCAATAATATATTTCAGTTCAATTTTTAGAAAATCAGAAGAGAAAACTTATTTGCATGACATTTTCAAGATTTTGATGAAGTAAAAATAAATCCATTTAATTGCTTAAACTTTGAAGAAAAAAATTTTCGATGCAAAATTAGTTAATCGGCGATTGTTTCAAACATACCAAATAAAAAGTAAAATTTCAAATTTACTTTTTATCGAAACTTTTAATTTATAGAATAAATATCTCTAGTAAGGGAGGCCTAAGACAGTTAAAGATAATATTTTAAATTAAAATTTAAAATACTTTTCAACTTTTTAAGCTTTTTTGCTTCAACTATAAAACATTACTTTAAATTATTAAATATATGTAAAATATATAAAAATCAGTATTATAAATTGCTACTAATATAGTTTGAAAATTTGAAAGATATATTTCAATGATTTAAAAAAATATGGGTTAAATTTAAATGCTAAAAAGATTAACAAAAATGTTGTTATTTTCAAACTTCACTATACTGCTGTATAAAGTTTCTGTTCTGGGCCAGTAACAAACCTCTAATTACTACCTCACTTTTTTAAAAGGTACCAATTCTGATAAATTATTGTATTATTGCTAACATAAATAAAGTAACATTAACATAAAAAAAATTAAAAAATTATTTCAAAAAGCTATTTCACAGTCATTGCAAAAATTTCAGTATAATACTTATCTATTCAAAACTATAAAAAATACCAACCTGAAACTATGAATTATAGTCTCGACAGGTGGATTTGGATAAAGATTATCATAAAACTAAAAAATAAAAGCAAAATGATCATTTAAATCATTTGAAATGAAATATATAAATATAAATATAAAATTAATATAAAATAAGTTCAAAAACTTTATTTTTTTAATTTATTATTGCAAATTTTAATTTTAAATAATACAGAAAAATCACTAAACTACAACTTTTATTACTGTAACAATCTAGGAATTCTAAGTCTCATCCTTTTTCTGTGACTGTTCCTAAGTGCTTCAAAAACTCTTATTCTTCTAGTTTTTTTCCTCGAACATCAGTTCTTTGGAATTCGCTTCCTTCATCTTGCTTTCCTGATTCATATAATTTGCAATCTTTTAAGTCATCAGTCAATCGTTATCTTGCTCTACAGATTTAGTCTTTTCTCTTCCAGTAACTTCCAACTCTTATAGTGGTTGCTTGCAGCCTTGTTGGAAGTGAAGATGTTAAAAAAAAAAAAAAAAAAAAAAAAAAAAATTCTCCGAGTCTTATTTCTGAAGCTTAGTTTGACATAAATTTAGACTAATAAAAATGAAGAGACAGCTTCAAAGTGAAGTCCTTAACTTACTGATATGCATCATTATTATCATTGATTTAATATCCCACTTTGTGTGGTTGAACAGTTTCATATAATGTCACTAATTATTCTTTTTAAATTCTTCTATTTCAGCCTTCTTCTTTGTATTTGCATGGAAAGAATTGAAATCGGCATAAAAGATTTATATGCCAAAAGATGCATACAAATCAACTACAATCCCACTTTATTCTACAATTCAACTTGTTTTTTCCTGACACAAATCTTTACATGCAGAATTAATGAATACTGATTTTATAACCATTCCTTAATCACTAAATATCTTAAGGCATGAAGAAAAAGTAGCTTTTTACTTCACTAGACCCCTTTAGGTTTAATAGAGTTCTAATTTTTATTAAGAAATTAATTTAAAAAGTTTTTGTGTTATTTTTAAAAAAAAAAAGGTAGCAACAACAACAACAACATTAATACTAATAATAATAGTAACAACAAAATAGCAAAAATAAAATTAGAAGAAAAAAGAACATAACTTAAAAGAGAAGAGTTCAGTAGAGTAGCAGGATTAAAATTAAGGAAGTCATAAATCTTTTTATCTACAATAAATATTTAGGAGAACATATAAAAATATACAAAATATATTAAAAACTACAAGAATTTAGAGAATAACTAAAGAAAACATTGAATTGTAAATATTTAATTGATTACATGGGGGTTTTTACATTACCTGTGAAGGCATTTTTATTTGTCATTTAAGAATATATTTTTTAGTTTTAAAAGAGAGTTCAGAAGTGAATTGACTGATACTTGATTGATTTAATACCATACTTGTGTGTTTGTTTTAAATGTAAAGAGAATCTACAACAAGATACAGATCTAAAATTATGGCTATGAACATCATTTGTAAAATTAAAGTAGCCATTAAAGTAGCTTGGGATGTTATTGTGGAAAATGTTTAACACACAATTTGACAAATAGATAAGTTCATCAAACCTTACCATTTTAAAAAGATATAAGAATTAAAACTGTTAGGTTAAAAATGAATTATTATTATTCATTTTCAATGTAACTAATTTACTTTGAAAATTTATGTATTTTTTTATGAATGGATGAACTTTGTCTCCATACTTTATTTTATTAACAACATTTAGTTTTGACCACTGATTCTAAAATCAAGCTTTTTAACAATTGTTTTTTAGGTTCAGATTTTTTGTCATTTACAGATATTTTATTTGATTGCAACCATTGGACCAAAGATTCCAGGCCATGATTTACGTAATTATTTAGCTTTTTTAAAGATTTATCTACTATCTATCAGTTTATCTACTACCTATCAGTAGGTTGGTATCATGAGCAAATTGATATATTTTTGAGTACCTAACACACATGTTTAAATCATTTAAATAGATAAGAAAAAGATGGGGACCGAGAGTTAAACCCTGAAAAATACCTATAGACATGTAATTAGTAATGTAAGAGATATTAGAAATAGAAACATTTTGAGAACAATTAGATAAGTGATCAATTGAGAGCCTTTTTCCCTTTACACCATAATGATATGATTTTAACAGCAGAACTTCATGGTTGACCATGTCAAATGCTTTTTGAAAATCAACAAACAGTTCACCAGCTATGTATGGTTTCAGTTATAGCTACGAGTGCTTGTTTAGTAGAGTATTTCTTTCAGAATCCAAACTTCAAACTATGTAAGCTATTCGATAGATTTAAAAAGCTAAGTAACCTGATATACATCAACTTTTCAAGTAGTTTGCCTACATTTGAGAGTATATATAGTAACTAGGATTTAGTTTACAAATAAATTGCTTAAATTAATAAAATAATAAATTAATAAAAATTGTAACTATATTATTAATATAGGTACAATTTTTATTAAATATAGCATATTTAAAATACAGGTACAACTTCAGCAACTTAAAATAAATCAAGAAATACTACTGATCGAAAAGATTGATTTATTATAGTACCGTCATACAAGGCTACTTGGACCCCAAATTGATACATATTTGATGTTTGGTTCTCTCTCATATTTATGTCAATGTAAAAAAAAACTTGTTGTTGCTTATTTATGGACTTATTAATGATGATTGTAGAGAAAAAAATATTTGGGTGGACTTCTGTCCCCCCTTTTTTGGGGGGTTAAGATTGGGTTCAAGTAACTCCTGTTTTGGGGCTACTTGAATCCATAGTGTAAAAAGCCCTGCCCTTTTGAGGTTTCTAACAATTCTTTCGAATAGCTGATGATGTCTTCTAATAAAATGAGGTTAGTGGGTAGCCAAAAGTTGAAGCTTTATTTAAGTGATCACAAAAAGACTGTTCTTCTTCAGGTGTGAAGACAGCTGGATGCCCTGCATGTTTTTTGTGATAGTAAAGCATTGTCTTCGAAGAGCTCTCTTAATGCTTGAGCAGCTGATTTAAATTGTTCTTCAGCAAATCGTTGACTCAGCTCCATGTTCAATATTAATACAGACTTGCTCTAAGTTTTGATCGGTATGGTTTTTGTAAGTTCAGGATCTTAATTTTCTTTTAAATCTGCGAACCATTCTGGTAGAACCAGTTATGATAGCATGAAGTATACGCAAAAAGGTGTATAACAGTAGCTTTAACCAATCATCAACATTATTTAGTTATACATTTTATAACCTAACAAATATTAAAAATATGGTTAAAATAACAAATATACCAACTCCTTTTAAATATATTATTTCACTTTAAAGTTTAATGTTAATGAAATATAAATTTAATCATTTTCAAACATAAGCTGCTATAATGACATTTGGGTTCAAGTAGCCCTAATTTTAAACTTCAAACATAAAAATAATCTTTTTATCAAAATAATAAAATTAAAAGACAATTATAATTGCTACATTTTGTAGTAACTGATACTTCTTTTAGGAAATGCTGTCAAATAATTTTTATCTTTTTTGGTTATGTTTAGCCAGACAAAAGTTTTACACTAAATTTTTACCATTATTGTCTTTTCCTTTAAATAAAATATTTTTTGATCACTTTTTGCAAAAAAATTTAACCCTTTATTTTTTATGTTACTTAATTTGAGTAAGTGTATAATTAACTTATTTACTTTCATACCAAATAATTTTGTAAAACATAAACAAGTAAATAAACATTTTACTTTTTTGGGTTCAAGTAACCCCGGGTAGCTCAAGTAGCCAAATGACGGTACTCAAAGGGCAGTTTATATGTTGTGATGCTAAGATGATTTTATTAGATAAGATTATATTGCATTGGTAAAGTTTAACAATACAGTTTAACAATAAGGCTTTACTGAAGCCTTTAGGGAAGTTTTTTCTCTAATAAGCCTTTAGATCTCAAGTTTTCATTTCTTTTCAACAATTTTTAATTTCTTTTCAACAGGGCTGCCGATAGCCGTCACGCCACCTGAGACAGCGACCCTAATTGCGCCCTTACTTATTAAAATATCCCTATATTATAGATCAAGGACTTTTTTTTTTTTTTTAAAGTACCTTGGCGTTCCTTGGATATCTGCCGTCCGGAACAAACTGTCCTTTTTGCCACCCTCTTTTGGCGGCCCTGGCTATTAATCTAAATTATAGTTACTTAAAGGAAATTCTAAATTTGCTGCGTAATTTTAGAGGAAAAGGAGCACAGTAAAGCGTGACGATTGGTTACTTTTGGTAAAAGTTGTGTGACGTATCTTATGTATGACCCATCAGATAAACGCAATATCGTTGCTGGTTGTTAAACAACTATAAGTTTTATAAAGTTTAAACCCCACGTGTTTAAGACGTGTTTTAAAATTTTATCAAAATTGTTTACGGCAACCTACTTAGTAACCGACAAGGTCAATCAAAGTTCGGGAAAGTCAATCACATTCAACTTTGACATTTAACAGTTTCTTGTCTTCGGATTGAATGAAGAGATTATCAAAGTCGTCGAATCTTCAAAACTTTAGTTACAATTGGATGACTGTCTTTAAAAATATTTACGAATACAAACAAACAAAGAAGATAATATTCCTCCAAAAAAAGATTACCATCTTAAGGAAAAAATAATTTTTTAATTTAACGCAAAATGGTTAGAACTAGAATGGCTAGAACTGATTGTTTTTTTAAAATTTATTGAACTGGATAAGAGTCCATAAAAAGTCAGTGATATAAATTTTGTTAACATTTTTAGATTTTTTTCAGATGTAGTTTCTGAAAAAATTGTTTTGAGAGTTAAGGCGCTCCCAGAAGTCCCTTACGGTCTTAAATAAAAGCACTCTCCCGCGGAAACAGCAATTATGTATGTGATCGTATCTGTTCGTTGTAGTTATATTACTAGAAATCAGCGTAAAAACTTCTAATCCCGCGGTTGCACCGCCGAAAAGCATTTAACCAAGTTCACGCTTCCTTTCGTTACCAATGTACCCCCTTTCTTACAAATGTAACCTTTGAACTCTTGAAAGCCAGAATTCTAATCACTGCACTTTTTCAATTTAACGTAGAACGATGTGTGACAACTTGTGTGAGAAAGTGCAATTCCATTCGTTAAAAGCCAGTGAATCGATTGTTTAACGTTGAAGAATATAGATTCGCGACAAATATATCAAGACGCAGATATTTTTGGACATAAGGTAATTTTATAATTTTCAAAATAATATTTAAACTTAGCGATTATAGAATTATTTTGTTTTATCTCCACATTTTTGAGTTTTAAGATAAAATAATTTAAAAAAATAAAAACTTTAGAAGACGGCATATAAATTTTTTTTTAAATATGTTCCCTCCGCAACTTTTTTACTTAAAACTTACGTTTCAATAAAGTAGGAAAACATTATTCTGAGGTACACAACACAATCAATAACCCTTTTTTTTAAAAAAAAGTGGAGATAAGACAAGATAATTCATTGAGATAAGATATTAACCAATTATTTTTTATAATTTAATTTATAGAAATTAAGATAAGCTAGGATAACTTGAAATAATTACACTTTTTTAGGTTCTAAGGTTTTATATCAAGTTGAAACTGAAATTACGTAGTATTTCAATCTATAACAGCCAAAACAATAAAGAAAAAAGTGTAAGAATGATTAAATGATACACAAGTTTTGAGAATTACGGTTTAAAATATGAACTATTTATTAATGTGGTTCATAAATGGATTTACTCTTGTTGTTACAACTCTATTAGAGAAAAAACTCGATTGTGTTCAACTTGCGGTTATTTTGTGTATTAACTAACAATATAGATTTTCAAGTTACACAACTATTAGTATTAAAATATTCAATTGAGTTATGCAAACTTATTTTTTCAATTTTTTCAAGGGAGTTAGCACCCCCTTCCCTCTCACCACCTCTACCATCAGAATCTGAAAGTCCTAAAATATATTAGAAAAAGATGATTTTTTTTTAGGAGACGTAAAGAATCCTAAAAAATATTTCAACATCCCACCACCACCGTTACCGTCACCACCATCACCACCTCCAAAAGTTCCAGGATCCGTCACTGATTATTGTCATAAGCATTACCACTCGGAAAATCTTTATTAATGACCAACAGAAAATGAGATCTTGAAACTCTAAATAAAATTTTAAAAAAATTTCCACTTTTTTAAATGAAATTAAAATTGGTCAGTGAATTTACTTTATTTATGGTTAGAAAATAAAAACCACATCAACACAAAGTTTATTTCAGGAACTTTTTAATTTTTCTATTAATTAAGAGCTTAATAGCCTATAAGGCTCCAATCACAGTGAGGCTCTAAGGTCACATGAGGCTCTAAGGCTCCAATTTCAGTGTCTTTTTGTCAATATGTATGTTTCTCCTCATTTAACACCAGGGGGAAAAATGCACAAATAAGTTGTTTGTTTATTGCCAAAAATTAACCTGAACAATAAAAAAGAGTTATTGGATACATTTAAAATGAAAATTTAAAAAGTTTCTATTAAATGAAAAGGTTATAAGTTACCAATATTAACAATTTGATTGTTATTGTTTTTTTTAGAAAAACGTCCTTTTGGTATCGAAAATGGAAAAGAACACAGAAGAATATTAAAATATAAAAACTAATAACTTACTTCATTTATTATTTGGGTAGATAGATTAAAAAACTCCATCGATTTTGAGTCTTTAAGGTTTTCATTGAAAGGTTTTTCTATTTCAGCTGATAACTCAAATTTGAGAAGCCATTTTAGTAATAAATTACGCGTTTCTGTTCTAGTTGAGGATGTTACAAAAGAAGTTTGTTTAATTGTTGAGCTAAAAATTTGTAAATTGTCTACATACGATGATTGCTTTAAAACAGTAGATGTTTCTAGTGTTACATTTAGAGATGGCGTTGATGTCCACTCTTGACTGGAAATTATCGTTTCTCCAATAGTTACACGAAAAATCAATGTCATTAAAATAATTATGATAAAAGTTATAATATTTTTCAGTATATAAAATTGAAAGTTAGAACTCATATCGAACTTTTGCAACAAAAGAATTTCAGAAATAAGTTAACTGCATTCAAGAATGAAGTTTAACATTTGAAACGCGATTCTTGAAACTTTACATTAACTCAATAAAATTATTAGACTCAAATAAATTATTAACTTAGTTAGGTATTAAAGCTTCTGCTTTTAAATGCACTGTAGCAAATAAAAAAATTAAAAATTGATTTTAAAAGAGTTTGATTTAATGATTATTTATTTTTAAAAAAAAGACTGCCAAGAAAATAAAATTATTAATCGCTCTTCATCATGAAAACTAGAAATCTTGAAATCACCTAAAACTACGCAAAAAAACAATTGCAAGAAGTATAGTTATTAAGTAGTAAAATTATTTTTTGCCAAATTAAAGTTTTTTAATTTATATAAACCCCCTGCAGTCGTATAAAGTTTATTTTTGAAATAATCAGATTATTTATTCCCGAGTATGAAATAAAAATAGTTTCCGTAAAAAAACAAAAAATACTTCAATTATTTGTTTTGATTAAAAAAACCGAGACTGCTTCAGAAAAACCATAAAACAAAACGCAAAAATGAGGTTTTGGACCGTAACGTCGGAGTTAGATCTTCCACACAAAACACCACATCAAGTATCCCCAAGTATAATAATAAGTATAAGGCCAGTATGATCCAAATATCTTTGGATCATACTGGCCTCGTAGTAAAATAATCCAAACTAACCGGTATAACTGGGTGCCAGCTGGAACAGGGGAAAATACTGAGATCCATTTGCATTCCCCACTTGGGTAAGATTTTGATTCTGTCAGTGGAATCAAAAGGGGTTCTATCTGTGATTGCTATGGATTTTAGTTAGGAAATCCTCTTTCGTATTATTTGATTTTCAGCTCCCGTTTTCTTTATCATTTAAAAATTAAAAAAAAAAAACACTTACTTTCCAAAAAGTAAAGGTATTTATTATTTGCAAAGTTAACAATTTAACAAGGTAATTATTGAGGTAACAAGATGTATGCGTATGATTATTTGGGCACTTTTAATTTTTACAAAACCTATTTTTAAAAAACATATTATATAACTTCAAAATATATTTAAGTAACAAAAAAACTATTATGGGAAATCGGCTAACAATACCCCTTATGATTTCGCGTAACAATAAAGAAAGCGATTTAACTAAAATTCGCATTTGCTTGTGATTTTTTTAATTTTTATTATTTTAATAGTTTTATGTAAAACAACCATGTTTATAGCTACAAAGCTATGATATGTAGTTATCGAATAGATACAGATTTGTCGTTATGTTACAGATAGCTACACTTATAAAATAATAATAATAATAGTAATAATAGCTGTGGTGTGTATACGCACCACAGCTTATTAGCTAGCAGTGTAGACTATTTATATATAGATTTATAGTAATGCTTTAGCGAGTTACAAAGCTGTAATTTGTAGCTCCCAACATAGGATCACCGTTGTCCCGGTTTTTCACGCTGGAGAGCGCAGCGCTTAATTAATTTTAAATAGTTTAGCGCTGTGTAAAATCCAGGACAATGGTCACCCAATCCCAACATTGTTTTGAAATCTATTAACTAGTAACAAAATCAAAATACTTTAATTTTTGAGAATTTTTTACTTTTTAACTAACATAGTAATACCATATTTATAAATAGAATGATACCCTTAAATTATTCTAATCCAAATATAAAAACATTAGGACGTAAATTCTGCGTTAACAACATTCAAAATTAAAAAAAAAAATTATAATAGAATAATAAAACCCATATATTTTTAATTCCTCTGGTTTTCAGTCTAGTGTTTTTAATATTGTTTCTGAACTTTTTGTTGGGTTAGTCTTATATTTTGAAATTGTTTAATTCTCTATCTATTTATTTATCTTGGGTTTTCATTTGACTATTTACTCTATACTTTATACTTAAAAAATACATTCTCAAAAATTAAACATTCAGCATTTATAAAATGTATATATTTTTGTACAATTGACATGCTGTATGTTAGAATAAAAAAATTTTTGTTTTGAAAAAAAGCTTTAAAAACATTCTTTACAAACATCGATAGCTTTTCATTAATTAAAAAAATCTAGCGATCCTCGTGACCAAATCGCTGTCTTTATTGTTACAATTATAGCCATTTTTTAGCCGATTTCCCATCGGGAAGTTATGTCAAATAAAAAGATTTTAAATGATGGCGTACTTTAAAATACTTTTTCAGTTAAAGTTTCACTTATATAGTCGAATACTTTTGCGGTCCAAGGTGGCCTACTAATTTGAGACTTGAAATACATTGTTTAATATGTATATTATTAATATAAATTTGGCTTATAATCCGTGGATGCATGCATGGTCTCTAATAATGATTTTTACAAGTTAAATGATGTATCCTATGCATATCACGGTGATTTAAGCCTGATATTTTATTGTGAGCATGCGCACATTTGTTTTTTTTTTTTAATTACGGAAAAAAATGGCGAAGTAGTTTTTATCTAAATAACTAAAATTCGTTGATTTAGTATTTTATTAAACAATTACTTATTCCTCGTGTAAAAACCTGAACTATATATTTTTAAAGTCTTACATTCTAGAAGGTTTTAAGTAAATCATAAAAATAAATAAGAATCTTTGTAAACAAAGAAAATTTTAATGAGCAAAATGTAAGGTTTTTTAGATAAAAAAAATAAAATATCTGTTAGCTAACTAGAGGGATATCTTTTGTTTGAAAATTTTTTGACTAAAAAGTTCAATTGTTTTAAATTCTATAAATCATGCCTAAAAATTCTATGCCTTTCGTTTTAACCTGTCATTTTTTTAAAAAAAGTTAACTGCATTTAACGGCAGGCTGGTAACATTTTTTGCGTAGTTTTTTTAGCTTTTTAATGGAAGAATTTTCTACTCTGAAAGCCTTACATAAAGTTCAAGTTAACCTTAAACTTACAATGCGTGCACGTTTTAAATCAAGAATATTATAATGTGTTTACCAGAACACTCTGATACTCAGAACAAAGTTGAATGTGTGTATTTGTATGTGTATATATATATATATTATATACACACATAAAAATCAAAAAAAAATTTTCTTTTTAATTTCTGGCTTCATTGCTTTAGCTTTTGGATGGTTTCTTACATAATGTTCTTTCACCATGCTTTTCAAGCGGCTACAACCTTTCATATGACAAAACAAACGATTAAGATTGTTAAATTCAGCATGCAAACTTTCTCCGCCTTGTTCTCCATAAACTCCAATGCCTAATCCCCATTTTTGAATAAATTGAAGAACATGTGTTTCAAGCAAATGCATCTTTGGAGTTACAGATGCATTTGGCCAAGTTGATCTATAAAATTCCATAAGATTACAGATTGCTGATTCTAAAATTAAATAGTTTACGTGTTTAAAAAAAAAGCCTAATTGAATTTCTTTAAATAAATTCCTCAAATTCTAACTAAAAAAAGCAACCAATTAATGTTTTTCAAAATAACTATTATGGCATTAAAGAATATGCTAACTTCAACTACAGTTTGCGTAAAACGATTTTAAATACCTACCAAGTTCCTGAACATCATTTTCTTGAAATGATTGTGAGCTGTTCATCAAGTTATGACATTTGGAATAATATTGAAACAACTGTTTAAATTTTTGGCTCACATTAACTGAGAGTAAATGAACGCCTGTATCAATAAAACCAAGATTTGAAATCAGTTTTGGAATAGAGTTGCACAAATCTAGCAAAGGTTGAGGCTAAATTAAATATAAGTAAAATTAAATAATTTTGAAATATTTTTATTAACAAAACGCAGGGGTGGCCGATGTGTTCAAAGCAGTCTGAACAAAAAATTAAAAAAAAAAAAAGATTTTATCTGATCGATATAACCAACCCACCAGGTTAGGATATTTAATATAAAACATCTGTAAAAAAACCTTAAGCATTGTGTGAACATGGTTTCCAACAAAGCATTTCCCATGATAAGCCTGTCTTTGTACCTGATTAGCCTTTAAAATTTCATCAAGTTGCTGAATGCAGGGACCTGAAATTTTATCAAGAATGTTTGCTTCATTTAATGAATTTAGTTCTTTCATCTAGAAAAATATTTTTCTTGTTAAATATATGCTACAGAAACTGTAGGTAATTGTATTGTAAATTTTTGAAATTGATATATTTTTGGCTTTCTAAAATTATGTTAAATATAATTCTAACTAAAGTCTAAATTAAATTCATATTTTTTTCGTAAATAATAAATACCTTATCAGTTTTTTTTAAATCATAGTAAAGTATTCTTGGTGCATATACTTTCCTTATTTCTTCTGTTCTGTCTGGTTCACATAAAACTTTTAATGAAATTGTGTCTTGTAAAAGTGTAATTTTATTATCACAGTCCTCAATAACACTTTTTATAAGATTTGATTGAATATGCATATTAATGTATTTGTCAAAATCATCTTTACCAATTGTATTATTTTTTAGTGCAAGCTCTCCAGCAAGTTTGATATCTAACAAGTGATATTCATCTTCAAACATGTTAAAAAACTTCAAATAGGTTCCTAAAGATATATGTAAAGCAGGTACTGCTACCTAAAAATAAAATTAAACACTATTAAAAACACTTAAAGCCATACAAATCCTCAAAATAAAACTAAAATACAGTGCTAAAAATAAATTACCTGGTCTAGAGGAATGTGAAACAAAGTTTCATTAATCACATTATTGAAAAACTTAGCCTTTTTCAAATTTCCTCCACTACTTTGGAATCGATTAAAATCAATGTTTAAAGATTTTAGAGATCGTTGTGAAACACCATTCTCTCTACTAATTGGAGCCAACTGGATACTTTCTTTGGTTATATCACAAAAAAGACAGCAATGTCGACCTATAATACCATAAGTAACAGTATTGAATGGAGTTAAACAATTATATCTTTAAAACTTTAATTTTTCAATCTTACAAAAGTTTTTACTTATGATAACTAAAAAAAAATTATCATCAAATAACATAAAATTTCTTTAAGTACAGCAAACCTACCACTCGCTCCTGTGATTCCATATACACTGCAAAGGAAATCATAATCTCCAAATATAAAAACACGAACATTATGATTTCTAAAAACAATTAAAATATATTAAATTAACACAAAATATTTGAATTTTATTTAAATTATCAATGCTTATTTCTTTAGAAATAGTAACTTACTGCCATATCATTTTTTGTATCTCATCAACTTGTAATGTATATCGAGATAACCCTACTTTAAGATTAGTTCGGTAGTCTCTTGCTTCAAATGTACTGAATACAATACTATTTGATTTTGAGTTTGGTTGGTCTTGGTTTACAATTTGGTAACTCATTTTAAATGAACCACCTCCATGGTCTCCTCCAATTTTTATGTGTATTTCATCATTTTTTATTCCATCATGTTTTATTAACTTAAAACTAATAAATTTAAATAAAATAAAAATATAACATAAAAAAATACAGCTTAAATAGTTTTTTACAATAGTTTATATTTAGATTTTTAAGTAACAAATTTGTACAAATATCCATACCTTTCAAGAATATCTAACAGGTTTTTAATATTAGTGGGTAGATTGTCTATATATGCCCAGGGAGCATGTTTGATTTCAAAAACTGACTTATTATTTTCATTTTGAAATGTAAAATCTCCATTTAATACAACAAGATCATTTCCTGCCCAGGTATTTGCAACTACTCTTTGTTTAAAGTTTGAAGCAGTCTTAATATTTCTTGAATTTAACCATCTACAATATTTAGTAAATAACACTTATTCATTTTTTTCACTAAATTATTTTTCATACTGCTTACTTATATATGCATTATTATGTAAATTAATAAAAGCATGCATTTTTAAATATACACCTACATTCACTTAAATAATAAATCAATTAACATTAATCTCTAAATAATTAACACTAATAAATAAACTAACCAATAAATATTTAAAAAAATAATTTTACCTAGTCATAGTTTTTAATTTATTCCACGGTACCCCTACATTTGCTTTAAAAGCAACCAATTCTTCAGCAGAAAACTCAACAACTCCAATCTTAGCACTTTCTAAAACTTTATTTTTTTGATTGTGATCAAATGATTTAAGCATAACTGATGTTTGCACTACTAGTGAATCTTTTGAATTTCCAACTTGATGATTAGCTTGGTCCACTAGGTGTTTGTGTCTTTTTCTCAAGGTATGACCACTGCAAGATGCACTTTCCTTGTAGGCTTTGGGCATAACAGTTAAGCAAAGGGGCTTTAAAATAAAAATATATATCAATACATAAACCTAATATCAGCAATCTTTATCATTATGAATATTCAAAATTCCAGACAAGAAATTTTATAGTTTAAGTTTTATATTAATGTACTTTACAAATATTATTACTCTTACTCTTGGGCCACCAGATAAAAATTCAATTGTAGTTGTTTTTGAATTCTCCATTTTTTGTTTAATTACATGCAACACTGCATCTTCAATATTACGTGGAATATGACTTGACTAATCAACTTTAAATAAATCATCAACTATTGTGCTGGAATTATTTAATAAATGATCTTTTTTGCACTCATGATTTTCATACTTGTCTTTAATAAAGTTTTTTTCGCAAATCTTGCATGCAATATACAAATGTTCAATCATCTCCAATACATGAACAGAACTACAAAGGCTATTAATCATAATGCAGGTTAAACAAACAGGATATCTTGCTTCATTTTCTAGCTTACCTTTAATAATTGATATAATACATTGACTACAAAACGAGTGCTGACAATCTTTGATCATGACTGGTTGATGCATTATCCTCCCACAAACTTTACAAATACATAATGTTATATGTGGGTTTAGCTGAATATTGAATTCAGAAATTTCTTTTTTGTTTAAAGGTAAGGGCAAGGATTCAAGAAACAAGTTTATATTTAGTTGTGTCCATCTTTTAAAAACTCCTGGCCGTCCAACATTTGGAGATGGTTTTCGACCAACCTTACCATAAATACACATACACTCCTTTGTTGGACATTTTAACCAAATTTTTGGTTTAATCTTAGATAGTTTATTTCCTCGTGTTTCAATATTCTTCATAGTTGAATAACATTTTAGGCACATTTGTGGTGGATGAACCTCTACACAATCTTCTTTAGTATTTATTTTAAAAACATTAAATATTCTTTCAGTCCTACTGGCAGTTGTTAGAGAGTCTTTTCCTGTTAAATTTCCACAAATTCTGCAAACTCTTAATAACTTTTGTTGATGTTTTTCAGTCATCTTCTAAATAAAATTTTTGAAAAGTTTTTAGCTAAATAATGAAATAACATATTATAAAAAAATGACAGGTTATAGAAGTCAATATTTTTTGAATATCAATGAATAATACTTTTATTAAAAACTAATCCACATGTCATAAAAATTTTGCTTCGTCCATAATTGAAATGTATATAAAGTGTTATTTTAAACAATATTACTCTTTTCTGTTTTAACTATTGTAGTAAATGTTCAAACATAAATTTCACTCAGATTTTTTGCACAAAACAGCTCAAGTATATAAAATACTATTACATTTGTCTAATTATTAAAAACCTCATAAAAATTGGATTTAAAATGGAAACAATGTTGTAAGGTATTTATTTGTTTTTAACACGATAAATACAAATTTTAATATTGAATATTTTTATCAGACGCATGCGTATAATAAAATCTCAAGCTTGCATAAGTACTGAATCACCGTGATATAATGTGGCATAATGCTACATTATAATATGCTACATTATAATGCTACATTATATGCATTTTATTATTTTATACATTAAAACATTATATGAATTATATTTTAAAGGGTTATGTAACAATTGGGTCTTGGTGAGACTAGATTATTGTTAGAATTTTGTTTAAATATTAATAAATCTTGAAATACCTATTTATAAGATTTTTTAAATATAGTTCATATTTTTATATAGTTAAAACATGAAAGATATTGATATTTATTCATATATAATACAAGAAAACTTGAAATTAGCTAATCCTAATTTTGTGAATGCAGTTGTAAATAGCATGAACTTAACAACTTGTAACAATGACATATAACATATTTGACAAAGGAAAACAAGCAAAAGCTCTAAATTTCGTTTCGAAGAGAAAATCAAAGAATGGCTCCAAAACGACTCAATATTGGTTCAATTAATCGATTATAAGAATATTCTTTTAACTGCTTTTATTGATAAAAATATTTCTGTTCTTATCCAACTGTAGTATCTGGCAGACCCCAGGTGAATTTTGGTACTCTAAAGAGTAAAACAAAAAAAAGGAGATTGGCGTCATTAGTTACATCTTATTCATCTTCAAAACTATTGTTTTCATCAAATTTGTTCGGTAATTTTAATGGTAAATAAAAAAAAGCTAAAGCTGTTTTACAATTATCAGAATACATGAGTTTTGGTTTGAAAAATGATTTTAAACCAAAACTTTTATATTATTATATGCACAAAAAGGTTTAAGCTTTAGGTTAGCATTTCAGGTGTCACTTTCAACCAAATAAAAAATCCATAGTACCACTACATTTTTAATATAAAAACACTCAATGTGGGAAATATGGGAGTAATCAGATATAGTTATTACTTTTGTACAGTTTATATCTATTATGGTTATTAAAATATGTGGTTGCTAAGCAATTTAGGTATGCATAGCGACCCAAAATTAAAACAAATGTCGCCATTAAAACCGCAATCCTCAAATTAGTAAACAGTGTAAAAATGGTCCATAATCTTTTTTATATGATTTTATCATATAAAAAAAGTTTATGGACCATTATTAGTTTTGTCCAGTAAAAGTGAATTCTGAAATTTTTTACGCATCGTGGTAGAGATACTTATGGGGTCGTCCACAAATTACGTCACGCAATTTTGATCGTTTTAGACCCCTCTCCACCCCTGCCACAACATCGCAACTTTAGTAACAAGTTCCGTATGAGTCGTCACAAACTCCCATAGCGTGACGTAATTTATGGAAGACCTCTTATGTGATTAACGTGCACATTAATAACATAAAGTAACTTAACATTACATAATTATCTAAACTAATAACATCTAGCATCTACTTAGGTAATTAACTTTGCGCGTTTAATACACGTTAAAGAGACAACTTTTTTTTCTTATAGGAAAAAAGATTTTACATTCAAACTTTTATTTTCTTCAAAATTAATTAACAGGGTGAGAGTCTTAATAAGTTGTGGATGGTCTGGAAAATATTTTTACAGAAGCTTAATAAAAAAGGAAATAAATAAGTCAGTACCTGTTTTTTTTACAGAAGTTTGTGCGGCCGTGACGCAGTGGTTAGAGCGCTTGCTTTAGAAGCAGGAAATCCAAGTTCAAAACAAACTCTGGGCATATTTTCGTTTCACGGTAAGGAAGGAGGCGTGAACTTCCTAGTTAAATGTACTTCCACGGTGCTCTGTGACAAGACCTTTAGGGCCTTCTTGGGGCACCTAAATAACAACAACAAAAAAAAGCTATAGTTAAGTATTGAACATTAGTTGTTAACTCAAAACAAAGATTTAACAGATTTTTTTTCTTCCACTTACTAAAAATTATTCAAAAATCAAAAATTTTACATAGTTAATAATTATTTAATTGGAAGCATAGGATAGATTATATATTTGCATGATTTTGAATGAATATTATTAATGTTAATTCTAAATAAATTATCATTTAAACAGTTATATTATTGAACTCAAAATAAATAAAATTTATATATGTAAATGGTTGCTAGAAACGGGTGCCACGAGCGCCCCTGAGCTTAATATTTATTAAGTATACGAAATATACATACTTTTTTGGCTTTCCTGGCTTCACTTCACTTCTCAAAATAAATAAAATTTATATATATAAATGACTGTTAAAAATGAGCGCCACGGGTACCTCAAATACAATAGTTATTGGACTTTGAAATAGTAGTACAAGTAATACACCACACTTATTTTAATTGTTTTTTATCCCAGCAATATAATACAAAAGTTATTGTAATAGTTTTATATAACAGCAATACAATACAATAGTTTTAGGACTTCAATGTATTGTTAGAACAAAAACAATACAATAGTTATTGTAACTGTTTTTAATCACAGCAATACAATAACAATAAATAATTTTTTAATTACATCTCTGGTGTTAATTAATTTTTATTATCTGGTGTATTTAATTTTTAAAATTACAATTACAATAGTCCGAACTTGATATAAATAGTCCGAAGTCAATATAGAAAGTTTGTTGGCTAAACGGATACAATTGTATAAAATAAAAATTGTATATACCAAAATGTTTATAATGAAACTTTATTTTCAGTAATGGAACATATTAACATTTGAAGGTTGTATTTTGTGAAATAAAGATAAAAAACCATATTTCTTTCGAAACGAAACTATTTCCAACCGCAACTTGCAAAACAGTTTTTAACGGGAAAAAACTTACGAAACACGGCATAATAAATAAATTTAATTACGTTTTTCGAATGAAATACGTATAACTAACTAAGTAACTAAAATAATAATTATTATATAATTATGAAAAGTTTCAATTGTAAACTTTTATAAATAAATCAAGAATTTCAATAAATAAACTTTTTTAAATGTCATTAAATGAATAAGAATTAAACAATGAAGATAACTTGAACAACGTAAACGTACGAATGCAATTGCGTAACCTGGAAACAATGCTATTGTTGAAATCAAAAAAAGACATAATTTAAGTAATGAATGCTAAAACTTAGTTATATATTAAAATGCCATACTCCCCTGAATTGAACCCAATCGAAGAGTTCTTTTCAATGTTAAAATCCAATTTCAAATCCACGAGAAATGCTAATCCCAATATGACTGTTGAAGAAACTCTAGAATATATTTTATCACCTGATAATAATTATAGCCAACAGTGCAATGTCTTTTATATAAATATGAGAAGAGGGTTAGAAAAGGCAATAAGAAGATAAGAATTTATCTAATTAAAATATTTAAAATGATTTGTTTATTTTTTTTAATAATGTATATTTTTGCTATGCTGTAATTTAATTTAATATTTTGCGCAATATTATTAAAGCTAAAAAAATAATTTCCAAAAAAATGAATATGCACGTATAACTTTGCAAGCGTGCACTTATAGCTTTGCAACCATGCACTTATAACTTTGCAAACATGCACTTACAACTTTGCAAAACCCTGTAAATGGTCTTCTGCGGTGCTCCGTGGTAAAACCGTTGGCCTTCATGGAACACCTAAAACAAAAGACAACAACAAAAAAGGAACATGCAATGGAGTTGCCGCTACATCAACTGATGGTTTGGACTGGGGCAGAATTGTTTTTTAGGTATATGTAGATACCAACAAGGTTTATAATATACTTACAAACTTGTTTACTCGACAAACGAGCTAAACCAGGTAAATAAAATCTCACTTGTTTTAAGTGGGATTCACTCAAACAACAAAAAAACCTTGCTACGGGCCTGCCTTTATCATAGAAGTTATATTGTCATAGATGTTCATGA